TACGTTCACTTAATCATAGACAAGAAAATAGAGCGTAAGTACTTACGTTCACTTAATCATAGACAAGAAAATAGAGCGTAAGTACTTACGTTCACTTAATCATAGACAAGAAAATAGAGCGTAAGTACTTACGTTCACCTAATCATAGACAAGAAAATAGAGCGTAAGTACTTACGTTCACTTAGCGAGTTTTGGAAGTATGGCCCCAGGGCCCCTGCACCATCAGCAGCATCTCTTCCAGAGGAAACACAATTAAAACCATCTTCATCATCAGCAGCTACATCACTCTTAACAACATCGACACATCATTATTATCCGCAGTAACACTCTAGCAAAATTTGTATACTGACGCGACTCTGCATCAGGCGCCGCCCAGGACTCGGGAGACGCGCAAATCAGCCGCTAATATCAGCCTTGGCCGAGCCTGAAGTGCCGCCTCTGGGTAGCTTGTCATACTCTCAGGACACACTTGTCATACTCTCAGGACACACTTGTCAAACTCTCAGGACACACTTGTCATACTCTCAGGACACACTTGTCATTTACTCACCTTACTCACCTTACTCACCTTAGTCGACTTACTAGCCTTACTCACCTTATTAGCCTTACTCACCATACTCACCTTACTCACCCCAGTCAGTTGCACCACCACCCCATATTCAACCACAACTCTCCCTCTAATCCCCCAAACTACACCCCCATTCCCCACCATACGAACCCTCAAGCCCCCACTAGACCCCATTTAACCCCTACTTCTTCCCCCTCCCCTTTGTTTCTCCGCATCTTGACTCACCATATTAAGGTTTTCCCCTTACCTCCCCAAAAACACTCATGTCCCCCAACTTAACCCCACTCCTCCCCCTCAGCTCCCCGAGACATCCCTGGGAAGTCTCGAGGACCCCCGGCAGATCGAACTCCTGCACATCGAAGGGGAGGCGCACCCCCACTACCCCCTCCTCCTGCAGGCCCGAACCCCCGAGTGTCGGGACGCCTGGCTTGAGGGGGTCAAGGAGTACGTCGTCGAGACCGGTGAGTGGGGGCGGGGGTGAGGTGGGGGGACGCCTGGCTTGAGGGGGTCAAGGAGTACGTCGTCGAGACCGGTGAGTGGGGGCGGGGGTGAGGTGGGGAGACGCCTGGCTTGAGGGGGTCAAAGAGTACGTCGTCGAGACCGGTGAGTGGGGGCGGGGGTGAGGTGGG